TTTCTCGGCCGGCTACAAGGCAGACTGTTGAACGTCGGCAGCTGGACTGGCGCGGTGGGTTCGGCCGGGGGCTGGGTGCCTGCTGTTGCGGGCAGTTGCCAGCGCCTACCATGGGGCTATTGTTGGGTATAGTGGCTCAGGGCTGCAGTGGAGTGAGGGACTGGCTGCACTGAAACGTGCGCTCTGTCTCCGCTAACTGCGAACAAGATGGTGGGTCCTGTGGTAGTGACAGATTCGTATTCCAGGACCGACAGCGCCAGCCCATGGCATGGCGCCTGCAAGGTTTCCCTAAGCATGGGACCCAGAGCAGCCACCCTGATTCTCCTTGCCCAGACAGCTGCACTATAGACTTCCTCAAAGAGGCTGGTTTGACTCCAAAAAGTCCTAGTGGAAACCCCCCTGTTTGCACAGCTTTAGTCTGCTGCCCCAAGGAGGGAGGAAGCATTGGAGAAAACGGAACTCTTCATTGAGACCTGGACCCTGCCACACTTAAAAGCGTAGCCCCGTTAATGAGACAAATAAATACTCTTCGTTCTGTGGCATGCGGCTATGGAAAGCCCTCGCTAATAGAGATGCCTTTCAGCATTCGGGACACGGCAGCACGGCACCATTCCGTTCGTCGGGGGAGCGTTCATCTCCTGTGGTTCTAAAAAGATGGGTTTGCGGGAGGATTTTAGAAAGTCAAACGACTCATTCCTAGCATGCTGAGTCTGAGAGTCAGGTGTGATGGGTAAGGGGATGGGATGAAAGAAATAAACCGCCTTGTACTGACAACTGAGCCCTTACCACTTGGCAGAGTGGGCGCATAGATTTCACTGCACTCGTTACCTGCACTCGTTAGAGTATGGATGTGCACGCTGCACCAACAATGTAATGTTCTTTCTTAATGGACCTGTCCTCCATGAATTTTATCTACCTCTTTTTGTTTTTAACCCTGTTATAGCCCTGGTCTTCACGACATCTTCTGGCAAGGAGTTCCACAGGTTGACTATGGACTGCCTGAAGAAATACTTCCTTTGGTTTGTATTAAACCTGCTACCTATTAATTTCATTTGATGACTCTACTTCTTATTTTATGGGAACAAGTGAATAACTTTTCCTTATTCACTTTTTCCACACCTGTCATGATTTTATAGCCATCTATCAAAACCCTCCTTAGTTTCCTCTTTTCTAAGCTGAAAAGTTCCAGTCTTTTTAATCTCTCTTGATATGGCACCCATTCCATACCCTCATCATTTTTGTTGCCCTTTTCTGAACTTTCCCCAATGCCAGTATATCTTTTTTGAGATGAAGCAATCACATGCGTACGCAGTATTCAAGATGTGGGCGTACCATGGATTTATACAGAAGCAATAAGATGTTTTCTGTCTTAGTCTCTATC